CCTTATCCCTCTCCTCTCGTCACATTTCATTTATATATATATACCTGTTTGAGACGATCCAAATCGACGGATTGGGAGGACGCCTGGCGCTGTAGCTGCTCCTTCTCGGCCACTGCGCGGTCCAAGGCGTCCCTGCAGCCCCTGAACTCCACCTCCAGAGCGGCCATCTGCGCCTCAACGCCCGTGTTCCTCGACCGAAGGCGGCTCGCCTCCTGCACCAACTCCTCCACCTTTTGGCTCACCAACTCGGGGCTTGGATGGACGGATTCCCGATACTCCACGGTCAACGCGCCCGCCAATTTTCCGGCGAACTCCTTCTCCCCCCACCCCCCATACGGATACACGCACGTTCGAGTACGTATCGACAATTTAACGGTTTAACGCGTTGACTGCCGCGTCACCTGGGCTTGAAATTATAGGTACAAAGTGAATGGAATTTAATCGAGAATTTAATCGAAAGAAAAAGTAAGTAAGAAAACTTTCTTTCAATATTTTGCGACGGTTATTTGATATAGTTATGAAGGGTCTTCGTAGGTATTTGGAAAGATATTCCACAGGGTGTAATATAATTATTGAATTGTAAAAATAATAAAAAATAATTTATTGATTAATTAATAATAAAAGAAAAATTATTTGGAATGTAAAACATTTTAAAACATTCTATACAAAGCTGAGAATTGATTCGGATAATTTGGACAAAAAATTTTTGTCTTTTTTAAATTCCTTTGTATTTGGTTCGTTTGTCGTCTTTTATCTGAATATTTGCATAATTTGCATATTGTCTAATACTTATATCAGAATTATTTTTTCGAGCTATTATGTTGACTCTGTTAAAGGTTTTGACAAAGTTTTGTTGTATTATTCGGATAATTTTGCAGCTGATAATTCTCTAAATCTTTCAATTTTGGGGTGTCACGAGTCTCATGGTGATACGACAATTTAGATATGTTTATGAATATATCGTGCTCTGATTATCGGACATGATTATCTGCTACTGATAATTTATATGTAATCTACAACTAGGAAGTATATTCGTTACGACTAGTCGAAGGGCATTCGACAAATATTATCGAAATTATAATCCAAATTATCCAAATTAAAATATTCAAAATATACTATATAAATCAGTACTACTATTCAATACTATTATCAATAATAATAAATTATTCAAATTAAAATATCCAAAATATATTATATAAATCAATACTATTCAATACTATTATCGATGAAAAAGTATATTTCTTACGACTTAGTCAAAAAATATTCGATAGTCATATTATTCAAATTATCCAAATTAAAATATCCAAAATATACTATATAAATCAGTACTACTATTCAATACTATTATCAATAATAATAAATTATCCAAAATATATTATATAAATCAGTACTATTCAATACTATTATCGATAAAAAAGTATATTTGTTACTAGTCGAAGGGTAATCCAAATTATCCAAATTAAAATATCCAAAATATACTATATAAATTTCTATTGTTCAATACTATTATCAATAAAAAAGTATATTTGTTACGACTAGTCGAAGAATATTGGACAATCATATTATCCAAATTATCCAAATTAAAATATCCAAAATATAGTATATAAATCAGTACTACTATTCAATACTATTGCCAATTACAATTACTATAATCAATACTTTTATCACGCGAACAATAATGATGGAAACAAATACGAGACATCATTCTTGCGACCATAGTAAAATATCGGTAGAAGTACTGGAGTAGTACGCTCGATACGGCAGCGCGCTTGAAGGAGATTTCGTTAGAAAGACGCGCGGCAGTCGACGTGTTAATCGAGACTTTAATCGAGATCGAAACCTGAAAACTGGAACGGGCGCGCTCCTTCGATTCCCTCTCGTCCGACGCCTCCCGCTCCAATTGGCGTATCCTCTTCTCGCATTCACGAACCTTTTCCTCGTGATACCTCGAGTCTCGTTCCAAGCTTTGCAACGCGATCTCGCTCCTCCCTTGGGCGGCGTAAAGATTCCTCTCCCGCTCCTCTGATTCCTGTTTTTTTTTGTCGATTCAGGAGAAGAGAAAAAAATTTGTTATTGGAGCAAGTTTATTTTCAATTCAGTTCGTGTGGAGATTGAATAGATAGTAATTATAGTATAGTCTGAGAGAAGAGTGGAATATCGAGAAATTTTTCGAAATTGTGAAAAATCGTGAAATAGCTAGAGAGAGAGAGAGAGAGAGAGAGAGAGAGAGAGAGAGAGAGAGAGAG